ATTTGACGTCTGCATGTGTACAGTGGTTTTGAAACTTTATAAACTGAACTATCATTAGTTGGTTTTATAAAAATTATGGCAGCCCTGTAACATTTTCGAAAACACGATGTCCTGGTGATGCAGTTATCAAGTACTGTTTGTTATTTGGGAAAATCACCATTATCATTATCATGCCTCAGGATTTTAATCAGCCCTTCAACTGAAAATAATAAAACGAGAATAAAACACAATGACGAAATACATACATGCATATACAAAGACTGTAAAAGAAAAATGAGTATAAACAAGACAATTTGGTTATTTATCAGAACAAGAATCTACCTGTACCGTAAAAACAAAATCAGAGACAATACAGTTTCATGGATATGAAATTGATGCTACGACCCTCGTAGCAGTAAGGAACACAAAATATTGTTATTAAAATGCTGTAGCTCTAGTATGTTGGAAGGAGATAATAACGTATTTACATAGGGTAGTCACTACAATAATGTTAAAATAGATTGTTCGTTCGTTTGTTGGGAATTTCTCCATGATACATTGTACACTGTTCTAAACATTCATGTATAGGTACCTTTCAGTGTCTTGCTCTTGGCAAAACTCAAAGGCCATGACTCAGATAATATTGCGTTAATATTTCCTTATGTCATAGGCCTTACGGAAACACGCCGAGGAACTACTGGTTATCCCGTTCTCTCAGTTGGCTGATGTAGGTGCTAAAGTGGCCAATGATGTCGCTCACGTCACCACCATTTTTCTCTACATATCAAGTAAGTTGAGTAAGCTGTTTGAATCTAGAGGGGGGCACATATTTCAAATCAAATCATATAAAATCAAATCTTTATAAAATATCAACATGGCAGACTGAATTGCATTGACATTTTACAACTATACGACATACAAACATCATCACAATACATAGATAAAAAACATGTCATCATTTAAAAATTGACATCATGAGAACACGTAGCCTAAAATAGGAACAATTTCAGTTTAAAATACA